CGCCCGGACTTTCCCCTCCTTTTACCCCGCCCTTCCCTACGCGTTCCCCTCCGCTAACGAGCCCCCTTTCCTCCCGTTTAAACCCTCCTTACCGGAACGACCTTCCCTCTCTTCCGATCCGAAACCTTAAGACCTTTACTCTTCTCTTTAACGAAAACGACGAACTCTTCTACTCTCTTACTCTCTTTAAAACCCTCTCTCTTTCTCTCTCTTACTCTTACTCTCTCCCCCTCCTCCTCCCTCTCCCCCTCCCTCTCCCTCTCCCCCTCCCTCTCCCTCTCCTTCGCCTACGAAAAACTTCCTTAAAAAAAAAAAAAGAAAAAAGAAAATTCGCGAAATTCTCGGTTTTTCTAGAATAACTACATTATTTAACCGAAAATTAATATAATAACCCTAAGATATTTATATTAAAATATAAACGAAAAGAGTATAAAGAATATTATAATAAACTTCTTATATTATAGATAGGATAATATTTCGTAAATATATCTTAATGTCTCTTTAAAATAATATCTTTACTTAGAAGAATTACTTTTAAAATATTAAGAATAAGATAGATATTTAGATATTTATGAAAAATTACGAAAATATATTAAGAGAATAAAGAATTAAAGACTTTAACGAAGAAATTTATAATATCTTAAATTAAATATTTAATCTCCTTTTCTTAGATAATCGTAAGGAAGAATTAATAGAATAAATAATATAATTAAGGTATTAAAGAAGATTTCTTTCTAAGATTTAAAATGAATTTAACGAGAACGCTTAATATAATATTAGAGTTATTAGAGGAACCCTAAAAACTTAATAAGTTAATATCTCTAGTGAAGATTTACGACTCTCCTTAATAGTAGTAATTATATAAAAATAAGGACGATCTTTTAAGAGGGATTATTAAGTAAAGGAATAAGATTAGACTTCATTTATATCCTCTTTACGAGATAACTCCCGTTATAAGAGGATCTCTCGCGTCTAAAAACGAATTAACGAGAAAATGACTAAACTTTCTCTTTAAAATAATAAGAGAGAGTCGAAGAAGAGTCTACGTCTTAAAAGAGCGATAATAAAATAAGAGAGAGATGATAATATCGTAATAATTATAAAATATTATACTTTTAATATCGATTTATAAACGATTAAGAGAATTATATCTTATAGGATAGAGTATATATAAAGAGAAGAAGGCGAGAAGATAACTTAAACTCTAAGAAAGATAAAAAGATAGAACGTAATAAAGAATAAGAGGAACGAAATATTAATATAGAGAAGAGAAAATATTTAAGAGAAAGAAAAAAAATGAAAGAAGAGAAAATAAAAACTTAAAGGCTAAATATCTATTTATCTAAGAAAATATCTCTTAAATAAAAATCTCTTAAATCGGAGGTAAAATAAAGATAATATCCGGAATTAGAGATATTAATCGAGATAGAAGTAGTTATTATCTTTAATGAAAATATAAAATTATAAAAGTCTTAAACTCTTAGCTCTTAAAAGTTATAAAATCTCTAAAATAATTAAGATATTTCTAGACTTTAATATAGAAGGAAAGAAATGAAACATCACTATATATCTTTAATTATAACTCGAAGTAAATAAAATAAATATAGTTTTAAAAAGGTTAAATAAATTAAAGTTCGAAACTAAAGATGACTTAGAAAATAATATAAAATCGCTCTTTATAGTAGAGTATAACGATAAATTATCGATAAAGGCTCTAAAGAACTCTTCTTAATACTTAAAGATATAATCGAGAGATTAAATTTTCTTACTTAAACTTAATAATATTAATAGTACTCTCTATATAAAGTTACTAAAATAATATAACTATATAATAGATAATGAAATATTAACCTAACTCTAAAAAAAAAAAATACTTCCTAACCCTATAGACTCTCTCTCTCTTATCTACTTCTATAGATTAATCCCTTTATTAACTCCTAACTTATTTAAAATATATTTTAAAGTAAATAATAATATTACGAAGGTGACTGTATAGAAGTAATTAATAAAATGATAAAGGTTCTATATTAATTTATATTATTAACGTTAAATTAAGTTAACTGAACCTCTAACTAGAGAAGTAGACGATGGTTATAACCTAATAGTACCTTATTTATATGTAGAAGGATATTAAGACTAGAGTATTAGTCTCGTATTCTACTTTCTATGTAGAGAGTAATATCGAAGTATTACTACTATAAAATATATACAGGTATAGAACTATTATACCTATATATAAAAGGATATTAGGGTAACTAGGTAGGAGATAGATAAAATAAAGTGAAGCTCCTATTATAGGGCTACGTGAGTCTATATAGAAAGGAATTCATTAGAAACTAGGGTGAAACCGACTACGAGAAGGTCTATAGATAAAGATAGAGATACTTTAGTCTGTAGGTTACGAGGCGGTCTAGTCCGCTAGATAAAAGTGTCATTAGATATATAATAGTTGTCGAGGTCTCGACGTATTATACGTACTATTTACCGTAAAAAAGAATGTAGTGGAGGCCTAGAAAAGTTAAGGCTGGAATTGTCATTAGGAGCGTGTCTAAGCTATGCTGCGCTAGTGCTGCTAACCTGTCCCTTATAGGGATTACTACTGCTGTACCCTAGAGTAGTCTTAGGACTCGAGGACCCTATGTACGAATGGCGTCCTGTAGACCCTATAGTGTGACCATCCCTCCAGCCAGCTAGAACGCCTTAAACTCGGCTTTATACATCTTTTCTATCGTACTGATAGCGTATCGTGAATATCCCTCTTTATGGTCCTATAGTCTCGCTTTATACATGATATAGTGCTTTGGTGGACTAAGTGCGAAAGATTTTGTCGCGTACTAGGTATGTACTCTCTCGTAATCAGTTGGAATCCCTATGATATTGTACGTGGTGAAGAATACGTCCTAGTAACGTAGACATCGGACCATCGCGATGAAAGTTAGTAGTATTTTTAGCGGAGTCTAGCCTGGTCCTGGGGGAGTCGTACTCGGTGTTTCGGCACTGTAGAACGATCGGACCTAGTAGACGGCGATCTAGACGATACTCTTACTATAGTAGTCTTTACGAAAACACCACTATTTCCGCGGCTCGGATGCGGACTGTAATAGCGTTAGGAGTGGAGAGTGCCTCGTTAGTGAATTCACTTACGGTGATGGGGGATCCGCCTTCTAGCTGTTCCTACGAAAGTTAGGATACTTGATGGTAGCGTATCGGTGGGTATTCTCACTATGTAACTGAACTACTTTATCTTCTCCTCCTAGTAAGTATATTAGCTATAGCGTAGGACTAGAGGAGATATCACTCTTACCTCCTTTACCCCTAGGTCTATAGTACTATCTTGCGTAGGCTCCTATGATGGTTAGGACTTAAGGAGCGAGGTAGGGTCTAGATCCGTACTATAGTCGCCGACAGGGCTAATAAGAGGCCTGGGAGGGAAGTAGAGTAGAATTAGGGTGGGTGTAAATGTCTAAGGCTACCTCCTAGTGGTGGCGAGGGGTAGTGATAGGGATACTTTAGGCTCGCTATTAACTTGGTGGATTCCTGGTCGTAGAATAAGAGTAGTAATAAGGAAGGAGAGATTGAGGAGGTGTAGAGGCTAGGTAAAATACCTGACTGCGCGCTAAGGCGAGATGGTGACACGAGTTAGTAATACCTGGCTAGGCTAACGGGGTAGTAGTGGTAGGATAGGCGAGTACTGACCTGGGAGAGGATACTGCTATACTAGGTCTAACCCCCTAGAAGGGATAACTAGATAATATTGTCACTGTCTCGATTGTAGACGAGCCTCTAACTAGTCTTGAACTCCTAAATACATCGTCTAGTCATTACCTATACCCCCGCTATCTTTAGCTAGAGGGTCCGTAGCGGAGATTATCATACTATTTACCGTTAGAGTTAGGGACATTAAGGTATGGAGGTGATCCTGTCTAGGAATAGCTAGAGTCGAAGTTTAAATCGACTACCTAGTATAGCGGACTAACCGGACTAATTAAGGCCGCGTGAAGACATTTAATTCTGGGCGTTTATAGGGCCCTACCTTCATATACGTTAGAATGTAGTATATGACGCTGAAATCATCCCTATCGCTGCCCTCTGGCGTATATAGGGACACTTTTGTATAGATGTAGAGGTACGTGTTAGTGCCGGCGAGATAAAAGTGTCCGTACATATACTAGGGGGTCGTAGACTATAAATCTATCTTCTATATGCGCTTTAGGAAGTGTCGTATGTAGGATGTCGTACGCTATGGTAGATCCCTGTAGATCCCTATAGACTTGGGGGGTACCCGTAGACGTCTGGAGTGTATACCTGCTGCATCCATTACCCGTTTATATTCATCATATTCTATGGATTCCTAGAAGAAGTCTCTAGTGGGCTAGCTTACGCATTTTCTATCTACCTAGGTATTAGGAGCTCGACTATCTATCTCCGACCTCCACGGAAAATATCACCTAATGTACATATCCAGCTTAAGTACCTCTCTATCTATATGTTTATCCAGCCCGGGCATCTCCTAGTTGCGGATGTGTCTAGCTTAAGTCTCATCTCCTAGTTATAGATCGATCTAGCCTAAGCATCTCCTAGTTGTAGATTAATCTAGCCTAAGCATCTCCTAGTTATAAAGCTATCTAGCTTAAGTCTCATCTTCTAGTTATCGATCTATCCAGTCTAGACATCTCTAATGTATTAATCTCTCCGGCTCGAGCATCTTTTATCTATGTATATCTATGATCTTGGGCCTAAGGGCTAATCCTTACATATAGTGTATTATCCGAGTCTCTTAAGTGATCTATATAGCCGTATCAAAGTTCATTAGCTAGCCTCGATCTAGCCGTCCGTATAGTGTAAATCCGTCCCTAACCCTTCCCTCGTAAACGGTGAAAGAACCCTAAACTAGTCCTCTTTAGTATGTTAGGTGTAGTTTGGATGTTAGTCATCTCATCGTCCTTATCGACTACATCGGTAGTCTCGCCTGACGGTGCGTCTGACATGGGGACGTCCCCTTAGCCGGACGGTAGAGGCTCGTCGTTCTGGGAGATAGATGACCGATTCGATGGTGTACTAAGGCGAGGGCGCTTGGACGGCCGGTTAGGGTCACTAGCCTCACTTTCAGAGGCGTCTAGGTCTTTAGTACCGGACCGATAATTAGAGGCGTCTAGGTCTTCGTCATCACTGGCCTTACGTTTAGAGGCGTCTAGGTCTTCATTACTAGCCTCACGTTTAGAGACGTCTGGGTCTTCATTACTGAACCCGTATTTAGAGGCGTCTGGATCTTCAGTACTAGACTCGGAGCTATCAGACTCGGAGCTGCTAGACTCAGAGTTGTTAGTCTCGGGCTCGACTGAGGTCGGTGCGACCTTAGAATCTAGAAACGGATCATCGTTATCTTCCGACATTCGGTTAGACTAAGGGGATTCCGGTATACTGGTCGAGTCTATAGGCTGTTAGGTCTAGTCCGTAGATAAGGTTAGGCTAAATCGAGGAGGAGGTCCAGCGACTCTACTAATCCTATATCGGACATTGTTAGGCTAGATAAAGTTGTCATTAGGCGCGAGGTCGTCCTCGGGTAGAAGCTCCATAAGCTGGGAACGAACCGAGTCTTTATCGACCGGTAGGATGGTGAACCGGTTATCGCAGTATTTATGTAGATAGCGGTTATTATAACAGTCGACTAAATGATAGTCACTATCGATGGAAAAGAAGCGGCTCGCGTAAATGGGCTTATCTCGCTTATCCCTTAAGATCCCATCGTACGTGTTGTAGATAAAAACGCCCCCGTCATTTATGGCGACATCTAGGTGGAGCTTGATCTAAGTACCCTAGTGACGTTAAATGTCGGATTTGGAGACCTATTTATATTTAAGTACTGCCCGATTCTACTTCATTACTGTGATGGCGTTAGTAAAGGGTAAGGTCTCGCTGGGTACGAATACTCACCTGAACCTTCTACCTTTAATTAGTCCTAGGTGTAAGGGTTGCTTTATACGAGCTGCGTCTACGTTAGCGTCTGGCCCGGAGTGGATTTGGGGGTCGATAAGACTAGGAACGGTATTAGTGTTAGGCTATAATCATCGGGCTAAGTCTAGGGAGACTTTTATCCGATAGCGCCTGGGCTAGCTAGACTAAAGTCTCCCGGGACTCGGCGGGACGGGCTAGTCTACGTACCTGCGGTTCTGCCGGCTGGACGGCTAGGCGTACTACCCTATAGAGTGTCGTCCTAGGAAGTATCGCCTTAGGGCGTAGTTATAGGAATGTCCTTTTAAGGTATACTTAGGTTCTCCTTACGCTATAAAACTCGGGAATAACTCTAGCCTAGGATGGCCTAGGTGTATACGTCCGCCAGCTCGATAATGGTACTGTCCTAGCGGCGCTCGTAGTATAAGTCGTGTTTATCGTCGTTCAAGTAGTCGAAGCTAAATAGTTACTCCTTTTACTCTTCGGTGAGCTCAGTGGTGCTTATGTCCGCCTCGCCGGCTAGCTAGGCTAGGAACTTACGGGCCGCGTTAGCCTGTAGATAGTTATCGTACGAATGGTTAATGGTTAATACCTAGACCTTCTGGACGCGCCGCTGTCCCAGTCGGTAGACGCGTCCCACCATCTACACTATCTATTATATATTTTCAGGGTACGATATGATGAGCATACGGGCGCAGTTTTATAGGTTTAGCCCGTAGGCGGAGGCCCGTAGCGAATAGATGAGAACGCGGCTGGAGTAGTTATCGTTACTAAAGTTACGTAGGATCCGGTCACGGTCTTCGAGCTCCAGGTCGGGCTATAAGACTAGAAAGGGGACATTAATAGTATAGAGGAATTCAGCCGCGCTATACTATTCCTTAGGCTACTAGATAAATAGGATGAGCTTACCCCGGTCTTCCTCGCTGCCGTAGAGATAATCGTCTAAAATGCCGTAGCTATATTAGAGCTTAGGCGACTGACCGAGTTAGTACTCGGCCTATCCTAGACGATCTTAGTAGACCGGTAAGGTCGGGTTAGGCCGGGTCGCCTTAAAGTATTTACTAAACCCGTAGTTAGTAGTTAGTCCTATAGCTTAGTAGTCCTTACGCTGGGATTTTTACTGGCTCCCGGTGCTAGTGCTGCGGAGATGGAGGGCTACTTCTACCTCTACCTATGCCGCGTAGCGGATGTCGAACGTAGCTAGAGAAATGGCGCGGTAGATCCGCATGTCGCGGAGGCCGGAGGTCACGGCGAGGCTCTTAAGGTTGCTACGGGTGGCGCCGCGGGAAGCGCCGCCGCGGTAGAGAAAGTCCTTCAGACGGTTCTACATCGTACTATACTATTCGGCTTCCTAAGTACTAAAGTCCAGTTTAACGGTAGTGATCTTATACTCGGGGATAAACTTAGCCGGGACTAGAGTACGGCTACCCCTAATGTCTACCTCGCTCGCTATAGTAATTCTTAACTGAATGCGGTCTAGGAGGGGCCGGAGGACCTTGAGGGCGGTGATGCCTTCCATATGGCCTTTATTATATAAGCTGAAGAACGGGACGGGGTCTAAGACGTACAGGGGCGCCTTATACTTAGCGACGTAGTTAGGGCAGCATTTCTGGATGCGTTCCTAGAGTTCTAGGCTGTAGCGTTCCGTCAAATTTTCGCCTAGGTCGTCCTAGCCGTCTAGGGCTATAAGGTCCGAGGTGTAGCGGTCTATGTAGAGAAGGTTAAGGTATCCCGTCAGGTCGGCGGGTCGATTGATGGCCGGTGTCGCCGACTGGACCTAGACGATGGGCGCGTATAGTAGCTGGACGGCGATGTAGTTGCGAGATGAATAGTTCTTAACCTTATAGCCTTCGTCCAGAATGACGACGCGAAAACAGTACTTCAGGACCGATCCGTAGGTCGTGCTCTTGTCGGTACGCTCCTCCTTAAACCCCTCGTCATCGTTATCGACGGCGCGAATAACCGAAGTGTTAGTACGCCGAACTACTAAATCGTCTTCGCGGAGGTGGGCGTCCGCGGTCGGAGGTTTGGCAGTAGCTAGGCGGATTTTAAGGTCTTTATCTTCTACTGTATGTACGGGTTAGTAGTTTAGACTCTAAGGGGTTATCGCAAGGGGGTGAGGGGGGTCAGGATAGAGATAGGGATACTTTTATCTAGATGGCTCTACTGGTGCGCCGTCCTATAGGCTAGAAGTGTCCCTATCCATCCAGGAAGCGGCGGAGGGGGGGGGCGATACTTACCTAAGGACGCCTTATCGCCAGGTAAAGTGACGAGGGTGCGCGACTGGAAAGTTTCGTAGACGGATAAGACCACGTCCTACTGGTCTATCTTATCGATGACCTCGCGGGCTTCTACGGGGTCGCTAGGGAGGAGAGCGGCCCGGGTCTCCGAGGATATAGTAGCTTTATCAGTCCCGTAGAAGATGTAGAAGCGTACGATACCGGTAAATCGGGTCCGTAGTTCCTTTAACCATTCGATCTAGATAGGACCGGGGGTTAAGACGAGGGTCGGGCGTATATCGACTTCTTAGCCTGCGGCTTGAGCTCTCTCGATCTCTAACGCGCGGAAATAGATGGTGGCGATTACCTTGATGGTCTTCCCCATGCCGCAGTCGAGCGCGTCGAGACCGCCGCCGAAGATTTTTTCGTAGATCAGTTAGGTGGCGATGTCGAGAATCTACTATGGTAGTAGGACTACGCTCGATTCCATCCCGTTCCTCTTCATGCGATTCTTATAAGGGGGGTCTTTATCGATAAAGCGGAGGTCTACTAGATCGTTAAAGTCGGCCGTAAACCCGAGATATTTATAGGCCTCCTCGTAGCTTAAGAGCGGGATGGACGCGTACGCTAGTCGGCTCAGTAAGCGATTAAGTTCCGCCGATCGTACCGAGGGAGGCTTAGTCGTGTCTACCTTCTTCGCGCTTTCTTCTTATATGCCGCGCTCGGCGTATGAAGTCGTAGTAGCCTGCATAACCGGGTCCTCGCCGCCGTAAAACTTATCGTAGACGACCTTAATACGCCGTACCATCCGGTGGAAAAAAACGCGTTATTGGGTAGGCGTAAGCTAGGGTCGCGGGTCTACCGTGGTGTTCTATATCTATAGTCAGCCGAGTTAAGCTTATAGAGGTTAGGAGAGGATAGGGACACTTTTATCTAGCCGGATAGTCGAATGGGCGACTAAATAAAAGTGTCCCTGTCTACCCGAGGAGAGGGGGGGCTATATATACTATAGATTCGTGGATCCGGAAGGCGTTTACGAATAAGTCGACCGTATCTACCCCCGCGGCGATGTACTCTTTCATATTTTTATCCTAGCGAAGTCTCTCGATAGCGTCTAATTCCAGCGAGTCGAGAAACTCGTCCGAGGGACCGAGGTCGGCGTTAAAGGCGGCTACGGCGGCGCTATCATCGACTAAGGGGTTAGGGTTGTATACGGATTAGCCTTCTTCGAGACCTAGTTGGCGACGTTCGTCCTGATTAAGGTACGGTAGCGCTACGGTAGTGCGAAAGGGAAAGGTCTTAGTGCCTTTGCCGGATACGTGGTTAGTACCAGTCCGTAATAATAATAGGGCGCGGTTGGTATCTTCTATGGTCGTAAAGTTAGCCTATTTGCGGGTAGTACAGTTAGGGTCGTGACTGTCCTTGAACAGCCGGGGCATTCGCTTGATCAGGTTGTAGACCTATACTAGATACATGACTGGGATCTAGTGACGCGAACGCTATATGCCCCGACACTCATCTAGATATAGGTCCTACTTATCGAGGGTTTAGGTCGGGCGGATCGTAGTAAGTTAGGTGATGTGACGTAGTACTAGGTCTTCCTTAACTAGCTTTAGGATACTGACGTCTTAAACGTATAGAGCGCCCTTCTAAGACGGAATGCTAAAATTCTTCTTTCGGAGGTCGGTAAAATGGGTTAATGTTAGAACTAGGGCGTCATATAATCGCCCGAGGGCGCGGACGTTCCCTAGGTCGAGGTAGCTAGCGAGGTAGAGGGAGTTTTACTGTAGATTCTGACGCCCGATTATGACGTTTATACTAGGTATGTTACTAGTAGACTTCTTAATAAGTTCTTGAAAGAGGATCTACCGATCCGGGAGGTTAGTCTTATCGAGTTTACCCTTAGCCGTCCCTTATCCCTTCCGGCTTCCTTTACGCCGGTTGATATTTCTTAAGTCTTATGCGGTTTACTTATCGACTGCGGTTAGGTTGAAGGCGGCGGCCGCGTCGGATAAATCAGCGTCGTCCGCGTCGCTAGGATTAGGCCCTAGCGGAGCTAGTATAGATGTAGGCTAGAGCCCGGTCTAAGTCGGGTCGGCATCTCCTTCATCATCTACGAGATCGACTAGATCGACCCGTTCCGTACTTAGTAGGGCGTCGACACGAGTACCGTCTTCCTACCGCCGCCTAGTATCGGGAGGGGTAGGGCTAGTCCGACTCGGTTTCTTACTGCCGGATTTCTTACTGTCGGATTTCTTACTGCGCTGTAAAGGTTGAGTATCTTTACGAAAAAGGGGCTTTAGTTTAGCGGCCTTCGGAGTAGGAGGGTTAGCCTTTTTACTGGTAAGGCGATTAACTATGGCCTTACTGCGTTAGCTAAGCTCGGGCGGGTCTAGGGTGTAGTCGTACTAATCGGACTCGCTGTCTTCTCCTAGTAGCTTATCACCTTCGATGCGGTCCTTGAGGTCACGCAGGCGCTCTAGGTTCTACGATAATCGTTTTAACTGCTTCTAGCGACGCTTGGACTACTTCTAGTCTTCGATGGCTTTCCGGTCCCGGCGGTACTCCTAGATGGTAGTCTGGATTTTGTCGAGGCGGTTCCGCTTGATTTCTTCATTATCGGCCGAGAGTTTAGCACCCGGAGCGCTTTTACTAACGGTGCGCGAAGGCTCTGACCGAGTTCCCTTAGGCTTACGACGCTATAGAATGTCTAAGTCTACGGGCGAGTCATCCTCGGTGTTAGAATCGACCGGTGGAGGACTCTTATTACCCTTATACTAATTAGAATCGGTCTCTTCGCCTTTACCTAGACCCTTCCGGATGGCGGTATAGGTAGCCTCTAGGCGGGTTAGGGCCTATTAAAGTGGGTGAGGGTCCGCTATAGAGTCTAGTACGGGGAGGTCGAGGTCATCTATCTTTTTTTCTATGCGTTCGATGGCTCGGCGTACCCGTCTTAGTCGTCCGTTTCTGATTCTCCGTGTCTTATTATGGTGAGGGAGGTCGATCTCGTTATAGTATGATATAGCGAATCCAGCATCGATTCCCTTAAGGATGGCGGCGTGACGTACTGCTTTAGTCGCCGCTGCATTATCATTACTAGTATCTATGGGGTCTAGAGGCGGGTCTACCGGCGTTATTCTACTAGTGTCAAGATCGGCGTTACTGGTGTCCATAGGGTCGGGGGGAGGGTCCTAGCCGCTAGTGAGATGAAACGACTCATTATCATCTGGAGAAGTAGTAGGCTAAGGGTCTGGAGAAGTAGTAGGTGGAGGGTCTGATATCTTAAGGGGGCCGGGTAGCTCTACCGAGTCGAGCTCAGATATAGTATATTAGAGATCTAGTCATGATAAAAATGTTAGTTTCTAGTTAGAGATAGGGATACATTTATCTAGTTAGCCTTAGGCTATCTCTTAAGACTCTAGTAAACCGGCAACCCGCCCTTAGCCTCTTACTAAACTTTCTAGCTGGAGATAGGGATACTTTTATCTAGTTAGCCTTAGGCCATCTCTCAAGACTCTAGTAAACCGGTAACCCGCCCTTAGCCTCTTACTAAACTTTCTAG